GCTATAGAGACCTCTGATTATTCACTGTTATGGGTTCATACACATTTTCCATGACTTCTCCATGACTTAACCACATTTTCATGACTATTATTATAGCCGACATGAAAAAGTAACTATTATTGACACTGGAAGGCTGCTGTGTTTGATCCCATGTAGGCCGACCATCTCCTGCCATTGTGCCCTTGATCAAGGCACTTAACCCCCCATAAAGTAGAACTGCACTGTTAGTCACATTGTCAACATGTGTTCAACCCTCCATCTGGAGAGCTCCTGGGTGTACAGGCTTGGCTTTTGATCCAGCCCTGAAACACCCAAGTCTGCTTATCAGGGTCCTACTGAGCAGCTGATGTTTAGGCTACAATGTGGTTAGACCAGGGCTTGAACAAAAGCCTGCACACCCAGTAGCTATCCTGGAGGGTAGTTGCCACCCTTGATATAAAATATTGCAACATTACAACCAATTGTCTTAATACAATGAATCAGGGATCAAAATGATGAGGTAGCCTACTTCAAAGCATCTACCTAGACATGTTTAAATATAAGGCTAAAATATGAATGTTTCAGGGGAGATCTATTGCTACAAGTTATGTTTTGAATTGGCTATCTAGTTAGTCTGTTTGTCATGATTTTATACCTGCTGCTGAAATGTTGCGCTCTCTCTCCTCGGGCAACGGCCCACTCGCACTGGCACACACCCAGCGCTACAGACATGCACTGAAGGGTCATTCTGATGATGGTTGATATGTAGATATTTAAACATTAAAAGTGTTAATAAGTGTACCTTCATGAATTACATTAACAAAAATCATGAAACTAATTTCCATGACTTTTCATGACCTTACAAACCCTAATTTGACAACTTGGAACAGCGCATCATGCGCATTCAGGCTGGCGTATTTTCAATCTGAGCAATCTCGAACAACCTACTGTCACGCACAGATTCGCAGACTAGCAGCAAATAAACTTGAACAAAGCAGAATCAGGAATTGAATGGCCACTCTCCATTGCTATTCAATGCAGATCCCACCTTCATTCCATTTTGATCAACCTTTTTTGCCTTAGTGTGTGAATCTGGGCCGGTGATAGGCTACTTTGTTTTATAGAGGAGCCGGTCCGCAATTACCCAAAAATTAGAGGAAGCCCAAGTCAAGCACTGGTTGTTGAACTACAGTAAGTCAAGTGGATTTGCACCACAGGAGGTTGGTGGCACCTTAATTGGGGAGAACAGGCTCGTAGTAATGACTGGAGCAAAATAGGTGGAATGGTGTCAAATACATCAAACACATGGTTTCCAGGTGTTTGATGCCATTCCATTTGCTTCATTCTGGCCAATATTATGAGACGTTCTCCTTCTCAGCAGCCTCCACTGATTTACACCTGGTAACAGAATTGCGGTAACGGAATTTCATCAATGGTTCCTGATCTGTACTATACAGAAATGCATAATTATGGATATGAATGTCGTTCTCTTCATGGTGATGTATCCTAAAAAGGTACACAAAGGTATAAATATGCAATATCCTCTTTTGCATATTTGGGTATTATTCTACACACTGGCTATCATCTTAACGACTGCATTTGGTTGGTCCGGACCAGACCAAATCTGAACCAATCATAGACGTACAGTACCAGTCAAAGGTTTGGACACACCTACTCATTCAAGGGTTTTTCTTTATTTGTACTATTTTCTACATTGTAGAATAATAGTGAAGACATCAAAACTATAAAATAACACATGTGGAATGGAAGTAACCAAAAAAGTGTTAAACAAATGTATTTTATATTTGAGATTCTTCAAATAGCCACCCTTTGCCTTGATGACAGTTTTGCACACTCTTGGCATTCTCTCAACCAGCTTCACCTGGAATGCTTTTCCAACAGTCTTGAAGGAGTTCCCACATATGCTGAGCACTTGTTGGCTGCTTTTCCTTCACTCTGCCGTCCGACTCATCCCAAACCATCTCAATTGGGTTGAGGTTGGGGGATTGTGGAGGCCAGGTCATCTGATGCAGCACTCCATCACTCTCCTTCTTGGTAAAATAGCCCTTACACAGCCTGGAGGTGTGTTGGGTCATTGTCCTGTTGAAAAACAAATGACAGTCCCACTAAGCCCAAACCAGATGGGATGGCGTATTGCTGCAGAATGCTGTGGTAGCCATGCTGGTTAAGTGTGCCTTGGATTCTAAATAAATCACAGACAGTGTCACCAGCAAAGCACCATAACACCACCTCCTCCATGCTTTACGGTGGGAACTACACATGCAGAGATAATCCGTTCACCCACACCGCGTCTCACAAAGACACGGCGGTTGGAACCAAAAACTCAAATTTGGACTCCAGACCAAAGGACAGATTTCCACCGGTCTAATGTCCATTGTCCATGTTTCTTGGCCCAAGCATGTCTCTTCTTCTTATTGGTGTCCTTTTAGTAGTGGTTTCTTTGCAACAATTCGACCATGAAGGCCTGATTCACACAGTCCCCTCTGAACAGTTGATGTTGAGATGTGTCTGTGACTTGAACTCTGTGAAGCATTTATTTGGGCTGCAATTTCTGAGGCCGGTAACTAATGAATTTATCCTCTGCAGCAGATGTAACTCTGGGTCTTCCATTCCTGTGGCAGTCCACATGAGAGCCAGTTTCATCATAGTGCTTGATGGTTTTTGCGACTTCACTTGAAGAAATGTTAATCGTTCTTGAAATGTTCCGTATTGACTGACCTTCATGTCTTAAAGTAATTTACATTTACATTTTAGTCATTTAGCAGACGCTCTTATCCAGAGCGACTTACAAATGATGTAATGTCGTTTCTCTTTGCTTATTTGAGCTGTTCTTGCCATAGTATGGACTTTTACCACATAGGGCTATCTTCTGTATACCCCCCCCCCCCCCCCCCCCCCCACCTTGTCACAACACAACTGATTGGCTCAAACGCATTAAGAAGGAAAGAAATTCCACAAATTAACTTTTAAGAATGCATACCTGTTAATTGAAATGCATTCCAGGTGACTACCTCATGAAGCTGGTTGAGAGAATGCCAAGCGTGTGCAAAGCTGTCATGAAGGCAAAGGTTTGCTATTTGAAGAATCTCAAATATAAAATATTTTTTGATTTTGTTTAACACTTTTTTGGTTACTACATAATTCCATATGTGTTATTTCATAGTTCTGATGTCTTCACTATTATTCTACAATGTAAGACATTGTAAAAAATAAAGAAGAACCCTTGAATGAGTAGGTGTGTCCAAACTTTTGACTGATAGTTTATGTATCAAGGTGACATCTACATGGTTAACAATAATAGTTATTTATTGTGTAGGCTGCTATCCTACTTGAGAGAAACAAATTGCCACATAGCTACCGCCGTAGAGCAGCCCAATCAGCCACGCAAAACGTTATTGAGTGGCAACAAATCTGCTCAATTAGCTGATTCACTTTCCATACATCCACTCCTTTCGACACACCCACTCGCCCATACTCTGGTCGCCATATTGGGCTTCAGCTACCCGTACTGGACTTCACTGCCCATACCATGAGTCATTGTAGATGTATGGTGGGAATGGCTTCCCTTTTCTCTGTTTCTCCCCCCATCTCTTCCTCCAGGCTAGTCACCAGTCCCCTTCCTGTTTTGGTTTTTCTTTCCAACTTGGTAGAGTGCTGCCTTTAAATAAATATCTCTCTCTCTCTGTCTCGCTTGCTCGCTCCATTTCTCTATCTTTCTCTCTCTCTCTCTCTCTCTCTCTTTCTCTGTCTTTCTCAAACAGTGGATAGTTAAATGGATCACTCTGGTTTAAATCCCTGCCATCGGCTGGGACCCGCTCTCCCTCAGATTGTTGTTTTTTAACTGCATGTGTTTGTTTTTTAACACTGGCACGGGGCTGAGGGTCCAGTTTCAACTGTGTGCTAAGTAGCTAGCAAGAGTAGCCTGTTCACACATCTTAAAGAGCCACATACACATCAACAGAATACCTATCTACGCACATACTGCACACTGTTCCATCCAAACTTGGATAAATTCTTAGTGAGAATGTGTTTCTTTACAGAATGTCTATTTCTATCATAGTGCTCTCTGTCTCCCCCTCAGACAAAGTGTTTTTCTGTGCTCCTGCAGTCACGTGAGGAACAGTGTGTTTAATTTCGACCAGGCCAGGTGCTGATCATGGAGTTTAGATTAGAAAGTTAAAATGTCTTATTTTACATCATCTCAACAATGAACATTTCTATCTTTCACAACGAAGCCATAGACTACACTGTAGGTCAGCCATAGAAGATCATTGTCATTCTAGAGTGATGTTATAACCTTGATGTAAGTATTAGTGTTGTCACGATACGAGAACTCTGACTTCGATACCATGTTTAGTATCATGATACTCGATACCATCATGACACTCGATTCCAAAACGATACCACAAAATGGCACTTGATCCAGACAGAAACTCAGCTACTGCTCTGTTCAATCGTTGACCATCTTTTGAGTTCAATATCATTCCATTTGTACATTTTTATGTCCATTTTTTTAGACAGCAATGTATGCATTAATGAATCAATTATACAATCAATTTGACTTTGTTTTTATCTATCGAACTACAAAAATAACATAATGGTAATCATTTTTTTGGAAGGTAAATCAAGATGTAGCCTAGGCCTATTCACAATACAGATTAATGGATATTATTCAATAGGAGTGTGTGCATGCATTGAGTTATTGAGCTTGTTTTAGCTGATATCATGGGGCTACAGATGACAAACAATCCCTTCCATTTAGGACTTATTTTATTGGCAATTGCTAGGAGAACATATTGTTTTATGGAACGGATCAACAAGATTTGCATAGAAGAAGCAGTCTCTTCTTTTATAAAATTGTGCGCTGTCTCTTTAAGAAAGTAATGACATCATTTGCGAGGCAGAATTTGGCTGTGTAATCTGGTTTTGTGAGTAAAGTTGGTCGCTCTTGCGCAGTCCCGTTCCCCTTTTTCTTGGAAGTGCCCCTAATCTATCACACCATGGCAGACCCCAAACTTGACTTCACCACTGGAGAGTCTGGCGCATCCACCAATCCTATGCAGTGCTCTGCCCTGCGAAAGAACGGCTTTGTGGTGCTGAAGGGACACCCCTGCAAGATTGTGGAAATGTCGACCTTCAAGACCGGAAAGCACGGACACAAGCCAAGGTTAACATGATGGGCATTGACATCTTCACCAACAAGAAGTATGAGGACTTGTGCCCCTCCACCCACAACATGGATGTGCCCCACGTCAAGAGGAACGATTTCCAGCTGTTGAACATCACTGATGGGTTCATGTCCCTCATGAGTGACAATGGCGACTGATTCAGACCTGAACAAGGAAATTGAGCAGAGATTTGCCACCTCTAAAGATATCATGTGCGCTATGGGGGAGGAGTATGCAGTGGCAGTTAAGCAGATGACCGGCAAATAGAAAGGCTTGACTGCTCAGGCAACATACTCCACCCACAACCAGTTTCTAGCATTCGTATTGGTTCTATCTGCGACGGCCTTCACAGACAACCTCAATCATTCTGTTTTGATTGTTAATTTATTTCCTAGTTTTTTTGTTTCTCTCTCCGATGCTGTGTTGGACTGTCCCACCGTTACCGTGGCTCGCTCGCTGTGTTGGACTGTCCCACCGTTACCGTGGCTCGCTCGCTGTGTTGGACTGTCCCACCGTTACCGTGGCTCGCTCGCTATGTTGGGTGGCATACTGCTGGATCACAAAGGTTTTGTTTAGTTATACATAATCTACTAAATAAAGAAAAGTACTTAAAAAATATAGATGTTATTTTTTTGACTTTGAGATATCTTGGTCTTGCCACATACATTCCTGAATGTTTAAAATAATAATGACTGGATCCAGAACCCAAAAAATGTGTGGCTATGGAATCTAATGAACATGTTTTTAGTGGCGAGGTAGACGTGAATTAATAATGTTTTTGGTGACAATCAGCTTTGGAATCAGCATGTTTGGGAAGCTAACAATGCAGCACAGACAGCTCTAGCAATGAATGAATAAGTGGAGCAGGAACTTTGCTCTTCGCGCTATAATGGCATCGCTACGCACTCTCCCCTCCCCCCTCCTCCTCTCTCTCCCTTGTTCTCTCTCTCTCTCTCTCTCTCTCTCTCTCTCTCTCTCTCTCTCTCTCTCTCTCTCTCTCTCTCTCTCTCTCTCTCTCTCTCTCTCTCTCTCTCTCTCTCTCTCTCTCTCTCTCTCTCTCTCTCTCTCTCTCTCTCTCTCTCTCTCTCTCTCTCTCTCTCTCTCTCTATGTTGACAGGAGCCTTATTGCTATCGGCACTCCAGGGGTTAAAGATCTGTGAGCCAACAGCAGCAGCTCGGCTTTAGCCACTCCCTGAGCCAGCCAGGATTTACATTTTAAAATCGTGATCGCCTCCTCCTGCCTCACTCATTCGCTCTGGGCTTTGTGTGAGCGTGCAGTGGTGGAACTGTGTGAGTGTATGCCGGAGAGAGCAGACACAAATGAGAGAGAAATAGGGGGAGACTAAAAGCATTCTGTCTGCAGGAATCCTTCTGTCTGCAGTCGAGGAAGACTAGAACCAGATAGAAAAGAAGCAACAAAGGAAATAGACTCAAGAAAAAGAGTGAGAACGAGGAAAAACAGGACTGCCTGAGACGACGAGATACACAGTCACACACACAGCAGTCGTGTAGCGGCGAGGCAACGGTACTCACTCACACACTCTCAGACAGTAAAAAAGGCAGGAAGCTGCCTGGATCTTGTCAAGAGAGAGGTTTGTGTATCCGTCTGCGGGTGTGTGTGTGTCTGCAGCGAGATTAGAATGGAGGAGGGCTTGTTGTCTGTGGCCCCAGCATGCAACTCTACAACCACCAACGCATTGCTCAACAACCACTGTGCCGGTAATGTACTGTACGATAACCGTAGTATTGCTTTCAGTGCTGTTCCAGAGAGAGTGAAGGAATCAAGGTTTGGAGGTTAGTGGGGTGCCAGCTCCATGTGGTTCATTGGCGCGTGTGTGCGTTCTATGGGGTTTCCCCCAGCTATGCACTTGAAGTGGAGTTTGCTGCAGAATCTGTCTTCTGCAACACCATCTGTGTGGTTTACCAGAAATGGCATGCAAGTGGTTTTAACAGACAATACCTTTATGACGTTCTTAGCTTGCGTGGGTCATAGTGAAACTATAGAAGTAGGTAGGTAGTTGTGTATTGTGTAATGTAGATTACTGTGAAAGAGAATAACCCATTTCACGATCCGCTGTAGTTCCCCTGTGTGTGTGTGTGTGTGTGTGTGTGTGTGTTTGTTTGTGTCTGTGGCTGTTTACCGGTCTTTGTGACTGTGGCTGTTCATTCACACAATTACCTCTGCACCCCCGATTTGTCTGTGTTTGGATCACCATGACATTTCTCCAAGCCATTCACCATTTATTCAGAGAGCACACCCCAGTGAGACTGCTGCTGATTGGCTGAGGATAGGACTGAGGAAGTAGAGCTATCTAGATGTCTTTCTTTATAGCAGGGAGGGAGGGAGGGAGGGAGAGAGGGGGAGAGTCATAGATCATAGCGGTGTGTCCATGAGGAAAGTTCATGGCCTCAGTAGGGCTAGGAACCGGTTAGGGTGTTACTACTTCCTGGATTTGTGCTTGAAATAAAGGTTACTGCAAGCTTCACTCCGTTGATCTACGTGGGTGGAGTGGGATTTTTGGAGCATGATATCCTCACCGGTCCCACTCCCATTCACAAGGGGACGATATATTTGTAAAAAAAATAAATAATAATCATTTTGTGAAAGCAAGGAAGAGTTGCCTGCCTTTGCTAGTGGTAGCTAGCTGGTAGCCTGGATAGCTGGCTTTAGCCTGGCTAAAAACATAGCAAGCTAGATGGCCTTTTTAGCTTCCCACATCTCTATGTGAAGTAATCAGATTTATAATGAAAAAATATGCTCTGGCAAATATTCGTATACTTGCTGGTGTAACCTAAAACATTATCCCAGTTTGATATGCTGCTTGTGTATTCATTCTGATATCAGCTAAAAATAGGTCATCATGTTTTGGTCATGGAGATTTCACAATAGCCTGGAATCACTAGTTATTACTTCTAAACAAAATACCTTTTTGTTGTTTGGTTTACTGTTTGAACAGTCGCTGAGATTTATATTTGGTTATCAATGCAAAAACGTTGATTATTAGCCTAGATAGCCTATAGATCAGCTCAAGGAACCAATTGACAACACTGCCCCCACAGCTGCAGAAGGAATGATACGGTGCGTCTCAACTTTCAGATAGTACAAAAGTACGTTGAATGCCGGAGCATATTACAAGGAGACGCCCCCTTTGTGACGACAAAATGACATTGCAACACTGCGCTGTGCTCCGTGCCTTCTGTCTCCGTAGTGTGTGAATTTACCTTAACATGGCCATGACCAGGCAGTACTGCTCCATGTACTGCTGGTCTATAAATAACTAAAACAACAAGTGTGTGTGTGTGTGTGTGTGTGTGATCTGTATAAATGTTCAACAGTTTATGTTAGTTGATGTGAGTCATTTCTATATACAGTGTGTATGTAGTGAGTAAGCACTCTTAAGGTGTCAGCATGCTTTTGTTCTGCTGGCGCTTAGCTGAACTCGGCTAGGCGAACCGAACGAGTGTGGTCGCATACTCCCTTACAAGACCTTTGCTTTAAAAAAATATTTTAAAAAGCCGCAATAATACTGTTCGTCCATCTTGAGACTCCTCAAAAGAGTCTGAATGAATCTAAGATAACTCAAGTAATGTCATTCATTTTGAAGTTTTTGCAGAGGAGATCTTAGTCAAGCAATTGTATATCTAACTAAGATGTCTGGTGCAGTATTTCTCAAGTGAAAAAATGGAATGACAACTAACACTGTTGACCAATCACTGACAAAGGGGTGTAGACTTCAGCTACCGACTTCGGCTTGCCTCAAGAAAACATTTTGTGTGCACGAACAGCCGAAAGAACCCTTGCCGAAGACCAAAACGAACAAAGACTTCACAAAAAGTTGACATAATATATGCACAAACTGTTCAGAAAGGTTTCGGATTGGGAAGCATGTGGACGCCATAATGGCAGTGGGAAATGGTAGTAGGCCAATTGGTATTCTGGCTTTTTATTACAACACCTCATTTGGCAAATTATGTCCCTCCCTTCTCTCACTCCCTCCCTCACTTCTCCCCCACTTTTAGGTAGTCTTCGTACCCCCCTCTCCCATGCCGCTTTCCTTCAAAGCACACACCATCCTCAAATAATTAAAGACAAATAGTGGTGTTGAGTGAGAGAGAGGCAGGAGAAAGGAGAAAACACAAAGGCAGTCAACAATTACAGATCCAAACTTTACGTCTGTCTTTCTCTCTCTTCCCCTCTCACTATATCGTAAATACAGATTTTCTCATGCATACTAATAGGCAGACATATGTTCTGAGCATACAGATACTTACATGTAGAGATACAGGTTTATAGACACACTATGGATATGTGTGGTGTATTAGAATAAGGAGGTGTTAGGCTCTCTGCCATCTGGGAGAATCCCCACTCTGAGAGCATTCACAGATGGCCTGATTCGAGCTTTACAGTTCTTTCTCCAGTGTGTGTGTTTGTGTTTTGCACTGAAAGAGCTGGAAAGTATGTGTGTGTATTGCACTGTGATTGAGCTGTAAAGTGTGTGTTTATAGCGACTAGCGAGTATTTCGAATTTTCTGAACGAGCCGTGAAGTATGTAGGTGCATAGTGAATGTGCAGTGTGCTTTGACAAGGCTGTAACGTGTCTTTAGTAAACACAGTGTGTATTACAGAGATAGAGTTGTAATGTACGGTTGAGCGCTGGGCTGTGTGCAGCTTCTCTCTGCTAATCCAATCTCATCCATCATCAGATCCCTCCATCATCAGATACCCCCCCACAACACACACACACACACACACTTGGCCTGGCCGCACAGCCTAATGTCTTACAACAAACATGTCGCCGCATGCATAAAGCAATTTAAAGCCCCTACGAGCAGCCCGCAGGAATCTGAGCACCATGGCGATTAACACGGCACTCATACACACACACTCTTGCACATGTGCACACACATACATGCCCATACAGTTCATGCATGCACAGCCAGCAAAAATACATTCATAAACTGGCAGACAGATATTTCTTTGTTTGTTTGCTCAGACACATAGCATTGAGTTAGTGTGCAAAAAGAAGACATTTTTGATCACTGTACATAAATGTATGTCATCAATGGATACCATCCAAATATGAGAAGTGTGAGGGTGTAAGTGGCAAGGGTTAAAGAAAGGGACTAAGTGCAGGAGAGCGAGAGATGAGAGGAGATTGATGATAGACCTTGTCAAAACATGGCTGTGCTCCACATTTCATTATGGAGGCTAAAGCCTCAGACTGAAGTGTGTCCGTGTGTGTGCGTGTTAGCTTGTCTGTCTGTGTTTTTGCATGCAACTTTTTTGCTTAGTGTGATACTATAAACTGCCAGAGACTGGGATCATGAATCAGTACATGATACTATGCTTTAACACACTCTCCTATTGCCTGTGTGTGTGTGTGTGTGCGTGTGTGCGTGTGTGTGTGTGTGAGAGAGAGAGTGTGTCTTTGTTCATTAACAGGATTAGATGTACTACAGACCGGGCATCATTCATGGTGATTAAGTATTGATGGAGGGAGTTGCTGTAATAAATCTGATTATACGGGCCCCCAGAGTGTGTGAGGACAGGAAATAAGCATGAGGACCTGAAATGACTCCTGTGCGTGTGCATGCATGAGTCTTTTTTAAAACATTTAGCAGTGTGGTTTCTCTAACCCAGTCCCATTGTTAGAACAGGTACTGATCCCCCAGAGTGATCTCTGCCACTGTCTTAACACTGTGAGATGAAGAGATTGAAGAAGGGGAGGAGGTCGAGGGAGATGAGTGTGTTCTCCAGTAGCAACCTGTCTGTCAAACACTGACAGGACGGTGATCTGGGTTGGGAGAGAGCAGATGTCATGACCTTTTACCCTGAAAAGTCAGTATGTGCAGCTGGAGACAACCGGAACCAGTCTTCCCAGTAAGACCTTCACTGGAGATGATGACCTCCTGGGTGAAGTGTTGAGCTGTATTAAACCTCCTGTCAATGGGGCTAACATGGATAAATACAGGCTTACTCCGTTAGAAAGAGGGAGACCGTATTCTTAAGTCCGTGTTCATGAAGTGTCTCAGATTATAAATGCTGATATAGGATAATTTAGCATTTTAGATCATTATCAATAAGATTATATGGACGGGGGGAACTGATACTAGATCAGCACTCCTACGGTTTTTGAATATGGGCCCTGGAGCATGTCTGGAAACACAGCCGTCTACTGTAGTTGAGGAAAGCATCAGTAGTGAGGCAAGCATTGGAAAGAGCCTGGCTGGTTGTTAGTGTCAACACCAACCATTCGAGCAGCCATTCAGTATTCAAACCAAAACAACTCTAATTAATTATATAGTGTTGCTTCCTGTTTGACAGGATGTGTGTTTGTGATTATGCTCCCTCTTAACAAATCATTATTTCCAGGCTGCTTATTGGTTCACTCCTCTCCTTCTTTCTCCAGCTCTGATTATAGCCTGTGTGATCTCACTTCCTGTGTGTCCTCACTTCCTTTGTGATGTTACTTCCAGCAGGTCCCAGCTAGTGTCCTTGTCCTTTAGTAGCATCTGTTCTCTCTAGTCCCTCAACCTCTTCACAACTTTCTACACTCACACACTGAACATATCTTCCCACAGAAAACATTCACAAAGATATTCAGAAGTGCAATTACTCACTTATCAAGTGCTTATTACTCAGAAATCCCTTTCACATGACTTGAGAATACTAAATGTGTTCTCAACACATAGACTATCACAGGATAGTTAGCAGAGGCAGAGGAATCAGGTTTTGAAGTGCACATTTTCTCTACGATATGTTTTGACAGGGTGTTGGGTAATAATCTACTTATCTTCTAATCAGTCTTTAGAGAGTGTTGTAATGCTCTCATTATAACAACAAGCGTGTTATCATGCTTGCGGGGGTTGCACATTACTGAGAAGGATGTCACCATTCACATCTGGCCTCTTTCACCATTTCTCTTCCTGAGTAATTCTCAGGGTTTCCTCCTTCCTGGGCTAGGCTGGAGGTTCACACAGGGCCTTAAAACCTTTCTGTATCAATAAATGCAAATTCAGCCCATCCTCTGCATTGTATCCTATTTTACAGCTGGGACGATAAACCAAAATGTACCGACACCGACCATACCGATCACTTATCGCAGGCATTTTGCAGTAGCCTATACTAGAGGAAATGTGAAGTTTGAAATGAAATAAGTTTGCTAAAATGGGTGATGGTTAATGAAACAATTGATGGCTACAATAATAATAATAATAATATGCCATTTAGCAGACGCTTTTATCCAAAGCGACTTACAACAATTAAACTAGTAGTAGTTAGGGTAGGGCGGTATCCAGATTTACATTCCTTCATACTGTGTCTGTGGCATCTCGGGATATACAGTATCACCGGCTATTTATTTAAATAATAATACATTTAAAAAAGAATGTCAGTTACCAGAATGCTAACAAATTGCTAACAAGTACTAAGCAATTCCTATAGTGGATGCAAGGTAAATGCTAACGAGCGCATGTGAACATTTACTAAGACGGACAACCCAGCTCATAAAGTTATGCAAGTTGCTATCGCAAAACGCAGTTTGCGGCACACACAATACATATGCTCAAAAATAAAGGGAACACTTAACACAATGTAACTCCAAGTCATCACCTTTGTGAAATCAAACTGTCCACTTAGAAGCAAATGATTGACATACATTCCAGCTGTGTGCAATGGAATAGACAACAGTGGAATTATAGGCTAGCAAGACACCCCATAAGGACTGGTTGCAAGGGTGACCACAGACCACTCTCAGTTCTATGCTCTGTGTTTTGGTCCTTTTGAAGCTGGCAGGCTTCACTGTGTGCATGAGACGAGTTACAACCCCACAATGGCTCAGTATGCAGCTATCAGGTGGCATCAATGCAAGCTGTGGCAAGTTGCGTGTCTGTCACGTTGTCCCGAGCATGGAGTACAGGAGACAGTAATCAGGAGCGGAGGAGGCCGTAGGAGGGCAACAACCCAGCAGCAGGACTGCTACCTCCGCCTTTGTGCAAGGAGGAGCAGGAGGAGCACTGCCAGAGCCCTGCAAAATGACCTCCAGCAGGCCACAAATGTGCATGTGTCTGCTCAAACGGTCAGAAACAGACTCCATGAGGGTGGTATGAGGGCCCGACGTCCACAGGTGGGGGTTGTGCTTACAGCCCAACACCGTGCAGGACATTTGGCATTTGCCAGAGAACACCAAGATTGGCAAATTCGCCACTGGCGCCCTGTGCTCTTCACAGATGAAAGCAGGTTCACACTGAGCACGTGACAGACGTGACAGAGTCTGGAGACGCCATGGAGAACGTTCTGCTGCCTGCAACATCCTCCAGCATGACCGGTTTGGCGGTGGGTCAATCATGGTGTGGGGTGGCATTTCTTTGGGGGGCCGCACAGCCCTCCATGTGCTCGCCAGAGGTAGCCTGACTGCCATTAGGTACCGAGATGAGATCCTCAGACCCCTTGTGAGACCATATGCTGGCGCGGTTGGCCCTGGGTTCCTCCTAATGCAAGACAATGCTAGACCTCATGTGGCTGGAGTGTGTCAGCAGTTCCTACAAGAGGAAGGCATTGATGCTATGGACTGGCCCGCCCGTTCCCCAGACCTGAATCCAATTGAGCACATCTGGGACATCATGTCTCGCTCCATCCACCAACGCCACGTTGCACCACAGACTGTCCAGGAGTTGGCGGATGCTTTAGTCCAGGTCTGGGAGGAGATCCCTCAGGAGACCATCCGCCACCTCATCAGGAGCATGCCCAGGCGTTGTAGGGAGGTCATACAGGCACATGGAGGCCACACACACTACTGAGCCTCATTTTGACTTGTTTTAAGGACATTACATCAAAGTTGGATCAGCCTGTAGTGTGGTTTTCCACTTTCATTTTGAGGGTGACTCCAAATCCAGACCTCCATGGGTTGATAATTGGATTCAGGTCATGTATATGTAAATGTTGAATTAGACAGCAGTGCTCTTAATCCAGAAGGGGGTTGTCTCTGCTGCTGTTACCAAGAAGCGTTATCTTGCAAGCTAATGTTAGCCACTTAGCTAACGTTAGCAAGTTAGTAAAACCCAGCTGGAGAGAATTTATCTTAGATATTTAACTTAATAGTTATAAGACATAGAGCTGGCAAACATTAGTAGCCTAGTGAATTTCATACAAGGTTAACTTGATCACCTCACTTAACACTAGAACTGCCTGGCCTTTCAGCCTATAAGTACCTGCTAGAGAACGTTGCTGGGCGTCCCATTTAGCATATGCATCCGATGCAAATCAACCTGCAAGGTGCGCAAACATAAGCACCAGCGCTTGATATATAGTGCATAAACGATTGTAAAGGATCAATTGCTTGAAGAAATATTAGTGGAAATTATATCAATAAAAAATAACAACAATAGTTATTTTTTTAGATAGAGTCAAGGATATGTTTTGTATAATTCTACAAAGTCCTATAAAAAACGTAGGCCTATAGCCTATTTTCGTTTCCCTTGCAATAAAAGCATTACAGTGTAATCCATTTGATCAACTTTATTTGTGCATGAACCAGTGCATGAACAATTGTAAAGGATGAATTGCTTAAATAAATATGAGTGGAAATATATTAATGACAAGATATAAAACAGTTATTTGTTGATTGTATCGGACACTGTATAGAGTACCACAGTACGAGTCATAATACCCATAAAACCTAGCAGTCAAACAGGGAAATGGTTCCAATCGTTTTTCCACCATTAATTTCCCTTACAATAAATGTGATTAGTAATACAGTTATAGTAAATAAAACAGTCCCTTAACAGCTTATTTTTACAAAGTAAAACGTAAAAGAGAATGTATCAACCCACAAGGCACGCGGTCCAATTATTTGCTGCCGATAAATAGGCATAACACAAACTCATCATTACGCTATTGTTGTTCTAAATGAAATAAACCTCTTCACCCTCCTTATCATTCAGTTAGGCCTAATTTAAATTCAGTTGTGAAGTAAGGGGCATAATTATCGCCCATTCATCCATTTGTCATTCATTCAGTGAGGATATTGAGACACATTGGCGCCTGGCTGGGTACCAACGTCCTACAGCACATTGTCTTGGCGGGGTAAGTTGGGAATAGGTGTGAAAAAAAGCGGTAAAAAGGCTCTAAATACTTTTCTGTTTGTGATTTTAAAATTCAGACAAATGAGCAGTGTAAAATACAAGCATTTATTTAAAGTCAGGGAAGGAGCAGGACATAGCTGGAATTTTTTATTTTATTTTCTGATTTAATATATTTTTTTTTAACAAAATCAAACATCAGTGGCTGTTGGCTTATGGCGGTTCTAGTGTTAAGTTGCGCTGCAGCAGGAGTGACTCATCTCACGTTTTGCTCGTTGTGTTTCTTTGTAAACAAACAGCTCAAACAGCTGTTTTGGGAAACTAGTAGGCCTACCGGTAAACAACATAATGAAAATTTATCTAACAGGCGAAATAATGAGTCCTTTTTTTTTTTACGGTATTGGAAAATCATACCAAGGGTATTTCCAAATACCCTGGGATACGGTTATATACAGTATAACACCCAACCCTAGTTGTAGTGGTTTAAAGGATCATTTAAAAAAAACTGTAGTGCACATGAATGTTATAAATGTATAGTTCTATTTATCGTTATCGCATCAATTCAGGCAATTTATCACCCAGCTCTACCCTATTTTAATACATATATACACTCAGTGGACAGTTTATTAGGTACACCCATCTAGTACCAGGACCCTCCTTTGCCTCCAGAACAGCCTGAATTCTTTGGGTCATGGAAACATTGCTCAATTGGTATCAAGGGACCTAACGTGTGCCATGAAAACATTCCCCACACCATTACACCACTGCCACCAGCCTGTACGGCTGACACCAGGCAGGATGGGGCCATGAACTCATGCTGCTTATGCCAAATCCTGACTCTGCCATCAGCATGAAGCAACAGGAACTGGGATTCATCGGACCAGGCAATATTTTTCCACTCCTCAATTGTCCAGTGTTGGTGATCGCGTGCCCACTGGAGATGCTTCTTCTTGTTTTTAGCTGATAGGAGTGGAACCCGGTGTGGTCATCTGCTGCAATAGCCCATCCGTGACAAGGACCGACAAGTTGTGAGTTCTGAGATGCTGTTCTGCACACCAATGTTGTACTGTGCCGTTATTTGCCTGCCTGTTTGTGGCCCACCTGTTAGCTTGCACGATTCTTGCCATCCTCCTTCGATCTCTCACCAACGAGACTGCCACTGACTGGATGTGATTTGTTTGTCGCACCATTCTCTGTAAACCCTGGACACTGTCTTGCGTGAAAAGCCCAGGAGGCCGGCCGTTTCTGAGATACTGGCACCGATGATCATACCACGCTCAACGTTGCTTAGGTCACTCATTTTGCCAATTCTAACGTTCAATCGAACAGTAACTGAATGCAATTGCTTGTGTGTATGTGTGTGCTCACTGAAGGGGCAGAGAGGAGAGTTCTGTTCAGGAATGTGTCAGGCCATTGTGAAATATAACGAGAGAGAGCGAGAGACAACAACACCCCCCCAACAAGATCCGGAGGGCGGAAGGTGGAGATGGACGGCGGTCTGAGAGAGCTGGCTGCACTCCAGACTGAGGTGAGAGAACTTAAGGAGGAGAGAGAGGAACACATGGCACAGCTAAATGCAGTGAAGGAAGAGGGAGAGAAAAACATGGCACAGCTATCAGCAGTGAAGGAGGAGGTGAAAATCTGAGGTGTAACAGAGAGCAGGACACTCCCCCAGAGAAGCCAGCAGAACAGCCCACCTCAGACCCAGACCACAACCTCAACACCACAATGGGACAGACAACACAGGACCCACCAACCAAACAGACCCCACCCCCTCCTAACAGCCCACCTGTCAGCTCCCCTGATAGCTCTACTGACAACCCCCACACGTCCGGGGCGGCAGGTAGCTTAGTGGTTAAGAGCGTAGTGCCAGTAACCGAAAGGTTGCTGGTTCTAATCCCCGAGCTGACTAGGTGAAAAATCTGTTGATGTGCCCTTAAGCAAGGCACTTAACCGTAATTGCTCCTGTAAGTCGCTCTGGATAAGAGCGTCTGCTAAATTACAAAAAAATTATTAAAAAAATAAAAAAATGGAGGACACACAAAAGCCAGAAATTGTGCTCCTCATTGACTCAAATGGCAAATACATTTAAGAGAATAACCTTTTTTCCAAACACAAAGTGGCTAAACTCTAGTGCCCAAACACTAGGCATGCCCTGGAGCTGTTGCCAGAGGACAGACTAGGTTCCCCCAGCCACACTATAATTCACACGGGCACAAACAACCTGAGGGCCCAGCAGGAAAGGGTGGCCACAGCACTCAAGGGAGTGATTGAAAAAGCTTCTTCCACTTTCCCCAACGCACAAATGGTTATCTGCACCCTGCTACCACGAAAATACATTCACCTTGCCACCATACAGCAGGTGAACGCAAGCATTTCCCGGGGCTGTGTCTCAAAACCTAATGTCTACCTGGCCCACCACTCCAGCCTTTACGACCAGGTCCACCTCTACAAGGCAGCAATCTCAACTTTTGCCAGGACCCTGAAATACGTCACCCACAATCGCAGCCCCAGCACCTCACACAGGAGCAACAGAGCAACGGACATCCCGCCCAGACCAGCGAGACACCCTCCCAGACCCTGGCCACACCCTAAGATTCCCCCAGATCAGACCTATACCCCTTCTGACCCCCCCCCCCCCCCATGCCCCCCGCCTGTGCAACAAGGACCTCAACATGACAGCCGCACATATGCTCAGGCCGTGAGCAGAGCAACAGGCCCAACCCCCACTAATGTTGCTGTCTTTTTCCATGGCTAAACCGACTAAGCTCGTAATTTAACAATTGTATTCATATTTACAAATGGCATACCATTATTAAGGCACATGAAAGTTCACGTTCCAGATGGTATTTCTGCCAAAAAAGTTTACGTTCAAATGCCGCTCCTCTGAAGTAGTGACGCGCGACATACGCCTAGTTTCCTGAAACGAGTCACAAATGGGTCACACATCCTGCAGATCTGTCGCAGGCTGGGTCTGTACATAGTCAATGGTAGGCTTCGAGGAGACTCCTATGGTAGGTACACCTACAGCTCATCCCTTGGCAGTAGCGCTGTAGATTACTTTATCACTGACCTCAACCCAGTCTCTCAGAGCGTTCACAGTCAGCCCGGTAACACCCCTATCATATCACAGTCTACCTTAACAGAGCAATACTCAATCATGAGGCATCAAAGCCAAAGGGACTGCACAATATTAAGAAATGCAATAGAGGGAAGGAAAGTAGTGTAGAAACCTTCCAACAAACTATTAGGCAACAACAAATTCAATCCCTTTTAGACAACTTCCTGGACAAAACATTTCACTGTAATAGTGAAGGTGTAAACTTGGCAGTAGAAAGCCTAAACAGTATATTTGACCTTTCAGCTTCCCTATCAAATCTAAAAATGTCAAGCAGGCAACCTAAGAAAATTAACAACAATGACATGGTTTGATGAATAATGCAAAAACCTAAGAAAGAAATTGAGAATGTATTTATTTGATTTATTTAACCTTTATTTAACCAGGTAAGCCAGTTGAGAACAAGTTCTCATTTACAACTGCGACCTGGCCAAGATAAAGCAAAGCAGTGCGATTAAAAACAACAACAACACAGAGTTACATATGGAATAAACAAAACGTACAGTCAATAACACAATAGAAAATCTATAAACAGTGTGCGAGCTTCTCACTCTCACAATGAACAATCACTCACAAAGGACAAGGGGGCAGAGGGAACACTTATACACAGACTAATGAGGGAATGAGTACCAGGTGTGTGTGATTGACAAGACAAGACAAATGGAGTGATGATAAATGGAGTGGTAGTGGCTAGTAAGCCGGTGACGACGAACGCCGAAACCTGCCCGAGCAAGGAGGAGGGGCCGCCTCGGCTGAATTCGTGACAGTACCCCTCCATTGACGCGCAGCTACAGCAGCACGCCGGCACCGGCCTTGGGGACGGACAGGAGGACGCGGAGCAGGGCGAATCGGATGGCGACGATGGAAGTCCATCAACAGAGAGGGATCGAGGATATCCCTCACCGGGACCCAGCACTGTTCCTCCGGACCGTACCCTTCCCACTCCACGAGGTACTGAAGGCCCCCACCTGGCACCTCGAATCCAGTATTGAACGGACAGAGTACGCCGGCGCCCCCTCGATGTCTAAAGGAGGTGGAGGGACCTCCCGCACCTCAGACTCCTGGAGCGGACCAGCCACCACCGGCCTGAGGAGAGACACATGAAACAAGGGGTTAACACGGTAATCGGGGGGGAGTAATAACCTATATGTGGCCTCATTGATTCTCCTCAGGACTTTGAACGGCCCTACAAACCACGGGCTCAGCTTCCGGCAGGGCAGGCGGAGGGGCAGATTCCGGGTCGACAGCCAGACCCGATCCCCCGGTACAAAGACGGGGGCCTCACTGCGGTGACAGTCAGCGTTGGCCTTCTGACGACGCACGGCGCGTTGGAGGTGAACATGGGCAGCGTTCCACATCTCCTCCGCACTCCGAAACCAGTCATCCACCGCAGGAGCTTCGGTCTGGCTTTGGTGCCACGGTGCCAGAACCGGTTGATAACCTAAAACACACTGAAATGGCGTTAGGTTAGTGGAGGAGTGGCGGAGAGAGTTCTGGGCATATTCTGCCCATCGCAGGAACACCGACCACTCCCCCGGCCGGTCCTGGCAATAGGACCTCAGGAACCTACCCACATCCTGATTTACCCGTTCCACCTGCCCATTACTCTCAGGGTGGAACCCAGAGGTCAGGCTGACCGAGACTCCCAGACGTTCCATGAACGCCTTCCAGACTTGACGTGAACTGGGGACCTCGGTCAGACACTATATCCTCTGGTACCCCGTAGTGCCGGAAGACATGTGTAAACAGGGCCTCCGCAGTTTGCAGAGCCGTGGGGAGACCGGGCAGAGGAAGGAGGCGGCAGGCCTTCGAAAAGCGGTCCACAACGACCAGGATGGTGGTGTTCCCTTGATAGAGAGGCAGATCAGTTAAAAAATCAACACTCAAATGAGACCATGGTCGTTGTGGAACTGGTAAAGGTTTTAACTTACCCGCTGGGAGGTGCCTAGGTGCCTTACTCTGAGCGCACACTGAGTAGGAGGAAACATACACCCTCACGTCCTTAGCCAAGGTAGGCCACCAGTACTTTTCGGTCAGGCAGCGCACTGTACGACCGATACCTAGGTGACCAGAGGAGGGTGACGTGTGTGCCCAGTAGATCAGACGATCACGGATAAGCGCAGGCACGTACTGCAGCCCAGCTGGACACTGCGGTGGAGATGGATCTGTGCGTAATGCCTGCTCTATATCCGCGTCCATTGCCCATACTACTGGCGCCACAATGCGTGAGTCTGGCAGTATGGGGGTATTGTCTCTGGGCCTCTCCTCTGTATCATACAGCCGGGACAGTGCGTCTGCCTTCACGTTCTTCGTACCCGGAATGTATGACAGTGTGAAATCAAACCGGGTGAAGAATAGGGCCCACCTGGCCTGGCGAGGGTTCAGCCTCCTCACTGCCCGGATGTACTCCAGGTTACGGTGGTCTGTCCAGACGAGGAATGGGTGTTTCACTCCCTCGAGACAATGTCTCCACACGGTCAGAGCTCGGACAACAGCCAACATCTGTTTGAACAGGGTATGGTAGTAGGTGCCAGGCGCACCGGTTTGAGTGTGTCAAGAACTGCAACACTGCTGGGTTTTCACGCTCAACAGTTTCCCGTGTGCATCAAGAATGGTCCACCACCCAAAGGACATCCAGCCAACTTGACACAACTGTGGGAAGCATTGGAGTCAACATGGTCCAGCATCCCTGTGGAACGCTTTCGACATGTTGTAGAGTTTATGCCCCAACGAATTGAGGCTGTTATGAGGTCTTGCTCTTCATTGTAATCAGAGGGCTAATATAAATACGATGCATGCCAGTCTCCCTTGGCTAAGAGTTGAGGAGAGACTGACTGCATCACTTCTTCTTTTTATAAGAAACATTGTGTTAAATTCCAAATTGTTTGCATAGTCAACTTACACACAGCTCTGACACACACACTTACCTCACCAGACATGCCACCAGGGGTATTTTCACAGTCCCCAAATCCAGAACAAATTCAAGAAAGCGCACAGTATTATATAGAGACATTATTACATGGAACAGCAAACCTGGTTTAAAAAAAACAGATAAAGCAACACCTCACGGCACAACACCTCTCCCCTATTTGACCTAGATAGTTTGTGTGTATGTATTGATATGTCGGCTACGTGTGCCTTTAAAAAAATTGATGTAGTTCTGTCCTTGAGGTTTTCTTGTCTATTAATGTTCTGTATTATGTCATGTTTCATGCTTTGTGTGGACCCCATAAAGAGTAGCTGCTGCTTTCGCAACAGCTAATGGGGATCCTAATAAAATACCAAATACCAAATAATGACAACCCAATTGTTAAAAGTGGCGGAGTTATCCTTTAAGCTACTTTCCCTGGCTTTGTCTATTTGATGGCGATGTGTTTGATTTACATTCCCTGTAGAAGTAGATTGGTGAATGGTTCTGTGCTGGGCTAGTTTTCCTGGCTCAGGTCTCCTCAGTGTACAGAGGCCCATTGTTCTGTAGTGTGTCATTCTTGTTTGTGGTGTGTGTGCTTAGGGAGAGAGAGAGAGAGTGGTGGGTTAAGTCTTCCCCTGGGCTCTCCCTCTCTCTGCTACTGTGGTCTACTGCTGCCCAGCCATCCAGGGCATGCTAACAGGCACTGCCCACCACCTCTGCCTTCACTGACCTCTGTGTGGCTGTAAGGAAATGCCTCACCCCTTGACTGTGTGCGTGCACAGGCTTGTTCGCGTGCGCAGGCAAGTGCCATATTACTACAGTTCTCTGCACATTCCCTCCCAAAAAATGCGTTAACTTTATTGGCCAGAAACTGCGCTTTGTGCTTACAGTAAAAGTTAGCTTCATCTGTTAGTGCCACAAACATAAACATAATCCACTTTTGAGTTCGGGGTTAAGTGCTCTCATGGCTTGAGCTGTTAGACTGTTAGTTTGTTTAACTTGTTAATACTTTGCTCTGAACTATTATGACTGTATATGTTTTCTCTTTACCACTCTTAAATTGTGAGTATGGCTGATGCTTGTTTTTTTGTGTCGTGTGGGGAAGGGGTTCAAACTCCTCTGAAGGGGGTCTTCTGGGGAGAGAGGGGGTTCGTCAGCACCCCTTTTACCGGCCAACCTTGGCTATGAGGCCCCCTCACTCTCTCCACTGCCAAATTACCCCCATCCCGTCCAGCAATCAGGCCTGAAGCTCACACAGCCCTCAACCCACAAATACTTTGAGCAGTTGAACATGTGCCCTGTATTTAGAGGTAGAGGCATGGAATTAGCTTTGAACACACACACACACACACACACATACTCCGAGTCCAGTAAGAAATCAGAGTCCAGTAGGTTCCATTGCTTACAGTGTCATGCCTGTGTTTTACACTGTTTCTCACTTCCCATATTGTTTCACAATAGGGTCTTAGGGAAGTCACCAGTTGCGACAAGTAGGCCTATACAGTGAAACACTCCTCTGTGTCCAGAATTCACCCATGGAAGTCTTATTACAGGCTGTGTGTGTTTGGTGCGTATATACATTAGGGCCGGGACGATACCAGTATCGCGATACTCGTTAGTATCGTGGCAAGGAAGCAAAACACGAAGAGGATTTAACTTCATTAGGAAAACAGCCCTAATGTTGGAAACAAACACCATTATGTTGTCATCCAGAGTCACATTTATTTATTTCCAAGCTACAGCACACAATATTTTACACACAGCAGGTTTTTAAAGGACCAAAGTGTTCGGTCTGCTTCATGTTTACATTTTTGCCATGGAAAAAATATTGCGATACTGGTATCGTCCCAGCCCTAATATACATGCTTCTGTGTGTTCGCGGGCGTGGGTCTCTTTGGTGGGTGGATGGCTAAATGTATGTTGTCTACAGTATCTAACCCAGTCTCCTCTCTCTCTCTGTAGATGACAGTATCTCGGCGGCAAGTGCGTCTGACGTGCAGGATCGTCTGTCGTCGTTGGAGCTGCGTGTCCAGCAGCAGGAGGATGAGATTACCGTGATGAAGGCGGCGCTGGCCGACGTGCTGCGACGCCTGGCGCTCTCCGAGGACACGGCCGCCACCGGCAAAAAACAGACCAGCACCAAAGGTAGTCAGTCACCTCAGACCCCTTACCCCTGAACTCTCACTGAAACCACCAGTCACCATCATGGTCACCATCCGATGTGCGCTCATGATTATACTTGCAATCTGCAGGTTTTTTTTAAACCCTCAGAAACCTGCATGCGCAAGTTCTAAAGACCTGCAACGGGGCAGTTTTTAAACATAATCTCTCCACCATAAGCTGATCATGCACTGTCAAATCCATCTGCTCTCGCTTCTGTACAGTTTATCATACCTTTCCTTTAGCACAGAAAATTCCATTCATCTCTACTTTCCCAATGGCTCGTTCGGCCTCTCTCCCTTGCACTTCTTCACCAGATCGTAGTTGTGAGAGAGAGAGCTATCTTGTATTCCTCCACTTGTGTTTACATGAAGGAAGTTCAGGAGCGGAGCCAGACCCTGGATCTGTTAACAGTTTCACTCCGACCTTGACTCCCGGTGCAAAACGTTTCCATTCAGATCGCAGCTGTGCAGGCCTTTGTGCGTGTGAGCGCGTGCTTGGGGCCGGTGGAAGGGCCAGTTTGTTTTTGTGCTCTAGAAATACACACATATTGAATGGAGTTTAGGTATGCCACGGTTAATGCACAGCAAGGAACATGTGCTTATTTTACCTTCTCGCACTAACACACACCAACATATGCTGACACACTCAATTCAATCACAATCTAACACAGGAACATAATGACAATTCAGTCTCTCACTATGAATTAAATCTCTCCATGAGGAATATATACTGCTCCATTCTCTCACACTATATCCAACTGAGGTCCTCTCTGAGCTCAGTGACAAAGTAGAGGCTCATAAGCCCAGCCAGCAGTCGGACAGAAAGCAGGGAGAGGGAATACCTGTGGCTGTCCCTGTCAGGAATATCGTTCCCGGCTGGGCAAGAGAGAAAGAGTGAGCGAGAAAGATTGTGAGAGATTGAATGCACTCTCAGAGACAGACAGAGAGGCATAGAAAGAGATTACATTCTCAGAGAGAGAGAAAGAGTATTCTCAGAGAGAGAGAAGGAGAGAGATAAAATGTGTCGCGCCCACAGTCATTGGCGAGCGTCTGGGTTCTGTAATCACGCTTCAGTAATAACCACCACCCACTCACCCGTAGCCTGGCTGACTGACTCCAGAGCTGTCCATCTGCACACATTAAGACCCTCTGTCTCCTGGGCCTGTGTGTGTGTGTGCCCGTGTGTGTGTGCCCATGCGCATGCACGTGCGTGCACCTAATTGTGGGAAGTCGAACATTATCTGTGTGTGTGGTGACTGGGCAGCCTTGTCCTGACATTTCACTTTCTCTAATGGAACCAATTACTGTATGATCATGTGGAAGTCTCTCTCTTTAGGAAGTGTCTTGGCTGGGAAACCATGCATGGCTCCTTGATAAAGAGAGATCCTGTCCCCATTTCTCTACCTTTGTGTACCTATTCAGGATATGTCACCATGAAGAGAATGTCATTCATAAATGTAGCTGCGAGCAGCATTGATGGGGTTCACACAGTGACGGGTACATTACGGTGATATTTGAATGCAGCAAAAAAAAATCTCTAAACCATTAAAGACTGATGTAACGAGTCTAAATGCAGTGGTCAGTGGATAAACTAATGATGCGTTGAACATATTTGTCTGAAAACGAGTCGCCAGTTATTGTTGCCCATGGTGAACATCTATCTAAAAAACCTTATCAAAGTTGATAAATACAGTTAAACAGCTACACTATTGCAGAGAAATATCACCTTACTGATACTAATCAGGAATAGTACACTATAAAATCACAATGAGAAATACACAATAGAAACCCCCATTGAGCTCAATGTAAAATAACCAAAAGAAAAGTACCTGTACAAAATTGTGGGTTTACACCTTTAACGTTTCAGGCCTGGCACTACCGGTGATGTAGGTTGTATTAGCGTACCACTTCAGGCTGAACGCAGCCCACCAAAAACAATATACACACTGCTCCTCACTCACAATGTTACGTTTCTTCTGATCAGAGAAACCCACCTGCTCGCGGGGCCGTGACTATCTGATCTCCAAAGGAGAAATGACCTTCTGTTCAGAGGAACCCAATCAGCGTGCAGGGATGTGGGCGCTATCTAGCTGGTCTCCTTGTGAAAAATGTATTGAGGAAGCGGTTACTGCCCAGGACAGTTGGCTACAAGTCCCGAATATAGAAACAACTGAGATTATTTACACTACCTAGCTAGCTCGTAGTGGGATAAATGTCTTGGTACACGCAGTACTCACGGGAAACAGCCCGCTCGGGATAGCTAGCTGTCCAGCTTAGCTAGCTCACTGACAGGCTAGCTAGCAAAATACAACTCACGAGAGAACTACAACTCGCTCACAACTTTACATCGACGATCATGTCCTATAAAATAGAACACTCAACTAACCAACTCAGGCTGATAAGGTTGGAAAATTAAACAATTGGTGGATTGTTTTAAAACATACCTACAAAAGTTTGCATTCGCCTTTGCCTCACACTCAAATTCTCCTCAGCACCAACTCCCATTCCCTGGCTATCCGTATTCGTCCCGCTCACTCCCCTTGCATTCCCTCCGATTGGCTAAGGGGACCATCACTCAGTAACTGTGAAAGAATTGTGCATATTTGATGTGCACCTCTTCAGAAATACTTTATTTCTGAACTTCGTCATCTTGGTCTTCTTTGTCTTCTTCTTCTTCTTCTTCTTCTCCTTCAGTGGTTTTTATATGGAAGAGCCATATATATATATATGTATATATATATATATATATATATATATATATATATATATATATATATATATATATATAATAGAAATAGTAGCGCCACAAAATGAACCAACGGCCCAAAATGTATTTCATCTGGAATTAATTAACAAATACCGAATGTATACCGGATATGTGATATGCCAGCGACTCCCAACCCGGAAACTTGCTTGTATGCATCTACTGGTATAGTGTGGCCATCTTTGAATGCATCAACGTTATTTTCTCAAACTCTTTAGGGACTATTGTGATGAGTGCAAAGACCAAATTTGAAGTGAATCTGACTTTTAGTACATTGTTGATGATTATTTTAAGCATTACCGTTACATAGTGAAAAAGTGAATTGTTAATTGTTTCCTTATTGTTTAAGATATCAATGCTAAACTTAACATGGTTGATCATGGTAGTGTGTTTGATGACCGTAAAACGTTTCAAGTTGATGGGCTAATGTGAAGTGGATATACAAAGGATTGAAATGGATTGAAATGCCAAATTACAAATAAAGTTAACAATCGATTCTTGTGTTATTTGACCATGTCAAGGATTTTTTTAAATCCAAGAATAACAATAGGTTTCACAACTTCGCTGTGAACCCTAATTATGCATTTATGTGTAGTACAGATCAGGGACCCATGATGTAATTCTGTTACCAGGTGTTAATCCACCAGTAATTTTTTTTAAACTCAAGGTGTCAAAAATATAGCTGACACCCCAGTCTTTCTGCAGACATCTTTGAATCTTAATTCGGTGTAGATGTTTTAGAGTTTTTGGAAAACGTGGTCAGATTTTACCGTCATTCTGTTACCAAACTTGACATCTGCACTGTTCTTCTAGTAAATGTATTTTTGTACAATTTTCAGTGAAAATTGTTAAAAGTAGTCCTTGTGCATAGAGTTGTATGGTTTGTTTAACTTTGCAATCAATGGATTTTGTTTGGCATACTTGAAAAGTGAAAAATCGGAGTCTCAGCATCATTCTGTTACCATGGAATAGCCCATACTTTAAAAATGCATCCTTCCTTCCTACCTCCCTTCCTTGAGGTAAGCACTGATCTGAGATGCTTAGAGTGAGAGAGAGGTTTCCATTTCAATGCTTTCACCTATCCAGTCATATCAGATCTGTGATTCCTTCAAGGAAATAAGGATGCATTTAAAAAGTGCCTTACTATTTTTTATTTAAACTGTAAGGCAAGAAAACAGAACCCTTACTGTATGAATGGTAGGATTGGAGTTGAGGCTGTTGTGGTGACCGTATTACCACCACACCGGCAGTCATGAGTCATGACCCATGGCTGCAGTAAAATTCCACGTGATCTTTGAGTCACGGTAATCCCCTTTTATGCACTCTGGACATGCTTTGGTAGTACCCAACTTGCTAACTACCATCAGGTCCTAATGGCCTGGTACTCAGGGCTCTTGTCCCTCTAACCACTCTGACATCAATGCAAATGCAATCGAAAATCACATCAAACATTTATCAAAACAGTAGGCCTATCATACTTTTAAAACTCACCTCACTGTGATGATCAATTTCAACAGCAGGTTGAAACAGTGTAAAAAATTGTTGTTGTGGATGCTGTTTCAAAGCCTAACACAACTAAATGGACAGCACTTTCTAAGGTGATTATTAATTCAAAACAACCATATGCATATTAGATATTTTACATATGCATAGGCTTAGGAGCCCAAGCCCCCCCCCAAAAAAAAAATTCTGAATTAAAATGATGATTGTGCCGTTATACAATACATTGCTTACCGCATATTATGCATGGGAGAAAAACATCAAACAAAACTGATTTAAGATGTCTTTGGTACATAATTGGTCTAGCCTATACTCCAAAATTGTGGACTGTATAATTATGGATACTGGATGGACTGGTTACCTTATGCTATGCTCCAAAATGAGTCTGGGAGAGGGCGTATAGCCCTAGGCAATGCTGTTGGTTCATTGATTATACAGGGCGGCTTAAAATGTGTCTACAATTTGTGAATTCGTATTTGATTTTGAATATTTTTGTATATTTTCATATTTAATTGAGTGACACATGACATTTTAGCAATACAGAATATCTCACCACCATGCATTTCCATCTCCTCCTCTCTCTCCTTTATTCCTTTCTTCAGCGTGCAGGCGAGCTGTCAACAGATTAGTGAAATACACTACCAGTAGCTGCAGGAACAAGGTTTGAGAGCCCATGGCATAAAGAGTTTGGGTGGAATATCACCTGTCGGGCAGCAAGACCATGCTCCTCAAACGGTGGTTGACACGTGGA